CCCCAACTTAAAATCCTGATCAGGTCTGCTAGGATGGGCTGTGTGGTCCTTCGTCCAGCCCGGATTCCGGCTCTTTAGGAAGCCCAGTGAAGGTAAACTTGGAAGGCGCTTATTCTGAGCTGGTTACTGGCCTGTAGGACTGCCCATCCTGCTTGGAAAAAGGTAGGAAACCAGCCGGAATGTTGTTTCCTTGAATCTGCTTAGGCAGCGAGTTGCAATTTTAAAATGGATTTCCTTGTTCCAGAGCTGGTGCGGGGAAGGGAAAAAAAAAAAGAAAAGAAAGAGAGAGAGAAGAATTGACTCTCCGTTCAACGGAGAAACAGGTTGGGTGGGAAATGCCAGTTGGACACATAGAGACGCAGTCCAGGTAAATCATTGGTTTGAAATAGCTGGGGAATTAGCGCACCGTGGGTCTTGTTGAGGTCAGGAAAAGGGCTGTGCTACGCGAAGGAATACATAAGCCAAAATACGCAGCGCCGGACGAGGGTTGGGAAACAGCCCTTTCAACCGGGCTTACCTGAGTTGCTGAACCAGGTTAGTTAAAGACTCCGTGGCCTCTGGGTGGAACGTCCTGAGCTTGGTGAGTGTGAAGTTTGGTTAGGAGGTGGGAGGTGGCTCAAGGTGTTGTGGGAACCCAACGACGGATTAATTCAGGAATGGTCTGTTGTCAGAATGCCACAGTGGTTTTGGATGGGTTAAAGATCCATAGAAAGGACTGTTCTTGATGTAAGAAGCAGGTTGTTGGGATACCCCTGGGTGTAGGGAGGGGGCCTAGAGAGCTTGTACTCTGCTGCTTGCCGTTTTTGTTGTCCTGGATTTTAAAAATGGAAAGGTTAACAGCTGTTTTTTCCCCGGAGGGAACGAATCTTGGCATTTATTGGGGAAGTTGCAGGCTTCGTCAGCTTTCGTCTCTTGTGCCACTGAATGTTTAAAGCTTATTAAATGTTAGAAGCTGGGTGGGTGGGTGGGCGTCTTTAGAGCCTTTGGTTGGGTGAAGAGAAGCCCCTTGAGAGGATCTGAAGAAACTGAGGCAGCAAAGTTTGTAATTTCTTCCTGATGCAGTCTTGGATTTGGCGAAACAGAATCAGCTCATTTTATTGTTAGATGACTTCACAATTTTATTCCAGAGGATGAGTTGTCAAAATAATAATAATAATAATAATAATAATAATTAAAAAATTATTATTATTAATTATTATTATTATTATTATTATTATTATTATTATTATTATTATTATTATTATTATTATTATTATTATTATTATTATTATTATTATTGGTTTGTTGCACAGTCAGCCAGATGTTCGGACTGGATTTGGCATTTTTTTTATCCACCTATTGAGTCCTTTTCAAGGACCTGGGATAGGCAGGTGTTGATGTTTTATAGTATGATTATTTCATTTATTTATATCTCGCCATTATTATTTTTACAAATTACTCAAGGTGGCAAACTTTCCTCCTCCTCAAGGTGACAAACCTTCCTTCTCCTCTTTTCCCCACAACAACGACCCTGTGAGGTAGGTTGGGCTGAGAGAAAGAGGGACTGGCCCAAATCACTCAGCTGGCAACTTTCATGGTTAAGATGGGACTAGAACTCACCGTCTCCTGGTGATTGACNTTTCAGTCACCATAAAACACAGACAATTGTCTTTTCTCTCTCTTTTTCTCCCACAAAGAAGTTACATCTCGCCATCTCAGCAAGTTCCATCATTTTCACTCGTCATTCCTCCGTTGTGCACAATGCCAAATCTTTCAATTTTATACAGTCATCTTGCTGCAGTTACCACCTTTAAAAAAAAAAAAGCTCCGTGACTTTTTTCCCCCCAGCTGTTTGTCCATCAATCCCAAAAGAAAAAAAAAACACCTCTGGTTTCATTTGTATATTAATCTTTAAATTCTCTGAATCAGTACCTTCAAATTGCTTTTTAACAAGAACCAATTGTCATTTTAAAATGCTGCTGTTTCTGATACCTTTTCAGAGGTCTTTTGAGACTCGCAGCTCCGTGATTTTATAGTTATAAAATTATATTTATAAGATATAATATGACTGATTTCCATGGTGGACTGGCGGTGCAGTTATAAAGGTTTGCACATTGCCTGTGCATTAAGACACACAGCAGACCAAACTGCCTAATTTGAGAAGGATCTCTGGGACCTGGAGAAATCAAAATTGTCCAACAAAGATCACACCGACATTTATTCTGATAGGTCAGTTCATGAAAATGTACAGAGCACTAAATCTGGTTCATGGATTTGTCTCGGCCATGGTTTTGTGAAGCATGGCATATTGCGTTGATGTCAGGCAACCAGGACCACATGTTAAGATGATTTATTGCTCCTGCCTCTACAAAAAAATCTAGTCAACTAATAGTCAGCACTAAATTGGCACTAGAAAAGAGTCAATGGAATTCAAGACGGTTTGGATCTAGACCAGGGGTCCCCAACCTTTTGGGCACCAGGGACCGTTTCCATGGAGAAAGGGTTTTCCACGGACCGGAGGGTGTGTGGTTTTGTGTTCTGCCTGCATCCCACGGATGGGGCTTTGCTTGTTCGTGCAGACCGGTTGCTGGCATGCCACGGCCCGGTACTGGTCCACGGACCTGGGGGTTGGGGACCCCTGAACTAGGCAATGCCAGGCCGTTAAACCATCCTTAAATTGCTAGCTTAGTGTTAAGGGCAAATGCAGCCAATAGTTACAATAGCCATGCTTGTAAAGCAGAGATCCCCAACCTTTTGGGCACCAGGGACCGGTTCCGTGGAGAAAGGTTTTTCCGTGGACCGGAGGGTGTGTGGTTTTGTGTGCTGCCTGCATCCTGCAGATGGGGCTTTGCTTGTTTGTGTGGACCGGTTGCTGGCAGGCCACAGCTCGGTACCAGTCCATGGACCGGGGGTTGAGGACCCCTGATCTAGATCAGGGGTAGGCAACCTTGGCTCTTTTATGACTCGTGGACTTCAACTCCCAGAATTCCTGAGCCAGCCATGCTGAGGGGAAAGAGAGAGGTTTCACAGCTGACTAATGCTGGCTCAGAAATTCTGGGAGTTGAAGTCCACAAGTCATAAAAGATCCAAGGTTGCCTGCCCCTGGTCTAGACCATTTGTGGGAACGTAAAGATTCCAGGCTGATTCCTTCCTGACTCTGTCCCCAGGCTCTGCCCATCCTTCTCTATATCAAACCAGGGAGGCTGGGTTCATACATTGCACTAACCCACAAACCGGGTAGTCTTTGACTTACAATGGTTCATTTAGCGACCACGTTACAACAACACTGAAAAAGAGTGACCGTTTTCCACACTTACGACTGTTTGCAGCCTCCCCAAAGTCACGTGGGCCAAAATTCAGACTCTTGGCAACTGGCACGTATTTACGACGGCTTCTGTGTCCTTGGGTCAGGCGTGACCCCCTTTGGCACGTTTTGTGACAAGCAAAGTCAATGGGGAAACCAGATTCACTTAACAACTGTATTGCTACCTTAACAACTGCAGTAATTCACTTCACAGCTGGGGCAAGAAAGGTCACGAAATGGTGCAAAACCCGCTTAACAATAGAAGTGTTGGGCACAATTGGAGTTGTAAGTTGAGGACTAACTGTACTGGGTGATGTGCTCCCTGTTAACAACTGTGTGAGTAACTTAACAACTGCAGAGATTTACTTCACAACTGTGGAAAGGAAGGTCATAAAAGGGGTTGTCAGAAGGTTGCAAAAAGGGGATCACACGACCCCGGGACACTGGAACCGTCATAAATATGAACCAGTTTCTACCTTAAACAACTGCAATGATTCCCTTCACAACTGGGGCCAGAAAAGTCACGAAATGGAGCCAAACATGCTTAACAATAGAACTTTGGGGCACAATCGGAGTTGTAAGTTGAGGACTAAGTGTACTGGATGACTTGCTCCCTGTTAAAGATGTCTTGCAGTTTTCTTTTCCTTTGTTGTGCTTGGTGCAGACTTGCCACCAATCTCTGCTTCTCTTTTTGCCTTCCGTAGGCCAATGAGGTGACGGACAGCGCGTATATGGGCTCCGAGAGCACCTACAGCGAGTGCGAGACCTTCACGGATGAGGACACCAGCACGCTGGTCCATCCTGAGATGCACGACGAAGTGGAGACGGACAGTGCGGTCGATTCCACGGTGCATTCGGAATTCATGGAGCCGGAGGAAACGGAGAACGGGTATTGATAATAATTTGAAATATTTATATATAGTCGCCCATCTTTCAACCAACCCTGGGCAGCTCCCAGAGATTTATTTTTTTAAAAAAAAACAAACCCATATAAAACTAAAGAGAAATTTCCTGACGGTGAGAACAATTTGTGCTACGGCTTCCCTCTGGAAGCTGTGGATGCTCCATCACTGGTGTTTTCAAGGAGAGACTGGACAAAATGGTATAAGGCAGGGGTGTTCAAACTTGGCCCTTTCATCAAAGGGTGCCTGGCTGAGGAATTCTGGGAGCTGAAGTCCATGAGTCATAAAAGGACCAAGTTTGAAAACCCCTGCTGTAGAGATTTTAATCCAGGGCTCTTCAAACGTGACCCTCTGACAACTTGTGGACTTCAACTCCCAGGATTCCTCAGCCAGGCACGCGTGCCTGGTTGAGGAATTCTGGGAGTTGAAGTCCACAAGTCATCAAAGGGCCAAGTTTGAAGACCCCTGCCTTATACCATTCTGTCCAGTCTCTCCTTGAAAACACCAGTTTTTTGTTGTTTTGTCTACCTGTTGAGTCCTTCCCCAGGACCTGGGAGAGGCAGATGTTGTATTATGATGTTAGAGCTATCATACGTAAGCTGTTTCAGATAAAGCTGCCTTTTGTCATTGACTGATGTCAATGCCAATTATTGTGGTTTGTCACAAAAAGTTACCCACATGTTTAGATTGGATTTGGCATTTTCATCCACCCATTGATTGCTTCTCAAGGACCTGAGATAGTCAGATGTTGTTGTTTGATGGTGTTAAAAATACAGTATCATTGCAGGATGTTTCAAGTAAAACTGCCTTTTGCAGTTGACTGGTGGGGATTTTGTCAAAGCTGATGGTGTTCAAGTGGTGCTCCAGATGTTTTGGAATTGCACCCAAGGTGCCTATGACTGTTGGTGCTATCTCATTATTATGGATCATCGCACAGTCAGCCAGATGTTCAGACTGGATTTGACATTTTGTCTACCTATCGAGTCCTTCCCAAGGACCTGGGATAGGCAGATGTGGATGTTTGATGGTATTATAGATATCGTCGCAGGATGGAAACGGTTCCCAGTAAGGCCGCCTTTTGCAATTGACTAATAGCGAATTTGTCAATGCCAATGGTGTTCAAGTGGTGCTCCAGTTGTTTTGGGATTGCACCCAAGGTGCCTATTACTATTGGTACTACCCTTGCTTGCTTTTGCCACAGTCTTTCTATTTCTATTTGTAGGTCTTTGTATTTTGTGATCTTCTCCAGTTCTTTCTCGTCGATTCTGCTGTCTCCAGGCACTGCCACCTCCACTATCCAGACTTTTTTGTCTTTCTTATCGACAATTGTTAAGTCCGGGGTGTTATGTTGCAGGTGCTTGTCTGTTTGAATTCTAAAGTCCCAGAGCAGTTTAATTTTATCATTTTCTATGACTTTCTCTATTTTATGATTCCACTAGTTTTTGCTTACAGGCAAATGATATTTCTTGCAGATCTTCCAATGCACCATTATTATTATTATTATTATTATTATTATTATTATTATTATTATTATTATTATTATTATTATTATTATTATTATTATTATTATTATTATTGCCACAGTTGTTCTATTTCTGCTTGCAAATCTTTGTATTCTGGGATTTTTCTCCAGTTCTTTCTCTTCTCTTCTCTTCTCTTCTCTTCTCTTCTCTTCTCTTCTCTTCTCTTCCCTTCCCTTCCCTTCCCTTCCCTTCCCTTCCCTTCCCTTCCCTTCCCTTCCCTTCTCTTCTCTTCCCTTCCCTTCCCTTCCCTTCTCTTCTCTTCTGCCGTCTCTAAGTACTGCCACGTCCACTATCCAGACTTTTTAATAAATCTTATCAATAATTATTAAGTCTCTGTTGCATTCTTATTTATGTTATTGAAGGCCATTACATATATAAAAAATGTGCAGCGGAGAGTATACTGGAAACTTAATGTACCACAAAGCAAATCTCTATAAGGTGTTGGTTGTTTTAAAGAGCAAATATTAATTTTCTCTCTCCTTTCCGAAACCACAAATAACAATATACGGGCTTTTCAGTTTATTCTGTGTTTCAATTGGAGGAGTTTCATTTGTTTGTTTTTATCCGTATCTCTGGGTAATGATCTCATCAGCTCTGGGTGGAACTTTCAGTCAGCGTTGTGAGAATGGGAAGATGTTGGAATTTCTATCTCATGCTCCACATTTCCGGAGGATAACAAGACCATTTTGTCTGTTAATGCAAAAATAACGCAGACATTAGCACCTTGGACTTAACTGATAAACTAATTTCCTGTTTTTGAATGCAGCTCAGAACCACACAGCCTCGGGACAGATGGATTTTTAAAATTCTTTTTTAATTCTTAATTTGAATTAGAAAAACTTGGGGGAAAGTTGCATGCCTTTTCTTTTACAACAGATGGAAACCCAGGCAATGTACATTAGTGAAATTGGAAGGTTATTCGGTATCGGAAGGATATTCACTTGGCAAACTTTTTCAAGGGAAAAGGGCAAATCTTATGAATAATTCTCCTCCCTACAAAAATAGACTTGATAGCAACACACATCCAGAGGTGATAACTTGAAGAAACAGCAGTAAAGCAGTGAAGATTAAGACAAGCTCAGCCAGATGTTTTCCTATTAGCAAGCCATCAATCTGTGAATCTGTTTGTTAATTTCTTTTTTTAATACATTCAGGCCTTTAACAAATATTATTTGGATTTCTTTGGGAGAAAGTTTCTTAAGTTGTTTCCACTCAAAGATGCAGTCCATGTCTGGGTATTAATAGACAGCCATGTCCTAGCTCTGTCATTCACCAGCTGATGTTCATGCACAATCAAACCATGTTCTGTGCCTTCTACAAAAGTAGCAGGTTATTCTGCCCTTGATTTAACAGCAAGAGGAGACAAAGGTGACCAGAAATGATGCTGGCAAACTTCTCCATGACAGATCAAGACTTAGGAGAGAGATGAGAGTTATGTTGAAGAACATCAAGAGAGGCTTCGTGGAAGAGGGCCAACGACTTTTGTCCATGGCCAAAATTAGGGCCAGAAATTACAGATATAAGTTGCAGTTACTTAGATTTTGTTTAAATATGAAAAAAACCCTTCCTGATAGTAAAACCTTCTCCACCATGGAACAGTCTACTTATGGAAGGTATGGATTTTCCATCTCTGGAGGTTTCGAAGAAGACGATGGACGTTCATTCCTTGTGGATGGTTTAGCTCAGGGGTAGGCAACCTTGGCTCTTTCATGACTCGTGGACTTCAACTCCCAGAATTCCTGAGCCACCATGGCTCAGCTTGGAAACCTCTCCCTTTCCCCTCAGCATGGTTGGCTCAGGAATTCTGGGAGTTGAAGTCCACGAGTCATAAAAGAGCCAAGGTTGCCTACCCCTGGTTTAGCTTGAATTTGCTGCATATTACAGGGGGTTGGGTTGGATGGTCCATGGGTTGCTTCCCAACACCACAGCATCCCAAAACTTAAAAGCATCAGCTAGCTTCACACAACACCCATTGCCAAATTGTTTGGGCTTTGCCTACTGTATGAATCGGCAAGGCTTGGCGTGATGAATGAAACCAGCCAGTTGTGATTTAAGCAATCAAGCAATGGTTTAGTGTGACCTCTCAACCTGTAAGAGAAAAGTATTTTGCTTCCCTAGGTTCTGTGAAAAACATGCTGTTTTGCACGTGCCAAACGCCACAAACTACTTGCTTATTCCAAAAGATTTGTATCTAGTTTTCTTCTATAGCCCAGGGCTGTCTCCTTTGACTGGCACCAGAAAGACAGGCTGCTCCATTATTTATTTTTAAAGTCCTTTTCATGTAGTAAATACTGGGAATCAAACCTGAGGCTTCCTGCCACGTTCAGCTGATCTGCCGCTTGCAAAACACTACCGCCGTGATAAAAAGGAGTGCTTTAAAGCATATTTCAGTGTAAGATATAACAATGTGTACATGCAAGCTAGGAGAATTCAGTCCACATGATGTTACATACACATTCTGCAAAGGTGGGTTGTGTATTTCTCGAGCTTCTTTCATTTTTTTTTTAGAAAGAAAATACTGGGGGTGAGAACCAAGAACCTCTGAATCCAAGAGAAATGTTCTCCTTTAAGGATTAGATTCTGGTCACATCAGATGCAGTTCGTACTTTTCTTTTAACAAGATTTCACATCTTTGTTGGTTGTGGCCCAGCTGCCTCCTGTAGATGTTCATAACCAGTCCTTTGCTTCCAAGGTGACAATGCTCCTATACGCTGAGCCCCAGATTGCTCTGGAATGGTCTTCTCCAATGTGTTCCCTCTAGATCAGTGCTTCTCAACCTTGGCAGCTTGAAGATGTGTGAGACTTCAGCTGGTTGGGGAATTCTGGGAGTTGAAGTCCACACACCCTCAAGGTTGCCCAGGATGAGAAACGTTGCTGTGTGGCAAAGAGCCACGGTGGCAAAGTGGTTAGAATGCACTATTGCAGGCAAACTCTGCCCACTGCCAGGAGCTTGATTCTCACCGGCTCAAGGTTGACTCATCCTTCCAAGGTCGGTAAAATGAGGACCTCAAATTGTTGGGGGCAAAGTGCTGACTCTGTAAACCGCTTAGAGAGGGCTGTAACGCACCATGAAGCGGTATATCAGTCTACGTTCTATTGCTATTGCTTTCGATGAACCAGAACTAAATCTGGGAATTTGGAGATCTACGTTCCCAGCCTGTCTGTAGGTTATTCAACTGTGAAAAGTTCTTTTCAAGGTTGCCTCTGGTGATGGAATTACAAAACCGGTCTCCTGTCACATCACGACAGTGTAAACATGTGCTAGGGTCCTGTACCATCTTCTTGGTGCCCTCTCTTGATGCTTCGATCCTTCTTTTTCTCCAACAGATCCCACCCTCATGATTTGTCCTTGACCACCGATGTCAACAGCCACTCAATTGTCACCATAATCAGCGGAGAGGAACATTTTGAGGACTACGGAGAAGGGAATGAAGGAGATCTTTTCTCGGACAGCTTATGCAATGGAGAAAGTGGCTTCTGTAGCTCGTCTTTCCTTTCTCCCAGGTAAACATGAGATAGTGATCCTCGGCATCGCTTTCAGATCTAATTAGGGTGGGTTTTGGTTTTTTTTTGACACGCTTGCACATCACGGGAAGCCATTTTAAGAATAATCCGGGGAGAAGAGGTGTCTAGTAGCTGCGTGTTCGTGTTTACATATCAGTTGTGCTTGTGACATTTTTTTTTTAGGCCAAGGGAGAGATGCTCAGGGTGCTTGACTGCATGATTTCTGTTCAGAATCTGAAACAGCCCCTGGGGAAGGTGGGAGAATCTGGATTAGCACAGCCTGGGAAAACCCTGTCTTGATTTTTTTAATCCTTCTCACTCCTGTGCTATAATCCAGCTGCAGTTACAGCCAAGAAAGAAGCCTTGAATGATCTCCTGGGATATATATTACCTGTGTGTGTGTGTGTGTGTGGTTTAAATCAGTGTTTCTCAAACTTTCCTTCACCACGGATCCCCTTTAAGTACCTCTTGCGGCCACAGACCACGGCCACAGACCACCATGGCTTAACTGAAGATTTAAATCATCACATTTTTTCAAGCCTTCGCGGACCTGCTGTGATGATGACCCTGCGGTGCCCCAGGGGTCCGCGGACCACAGGTTGAGAACCACCGGTTGAGATACTTCATGAACCCATCCTAAGACCCATCCTAAGACCCTCACCTGGAGGAGAAATTTCTTGACAGTGAGAACAATTCATCAGTGGAACAGCTTGCATCCCTGAGTTGTGTGTTTTCCAGAACACACCTTAGATAGGAGGCTGGACTTGGAGACTCCCAAGGTCCCTTCTAGCCCTATGGTTCTATGATTCTTAGGAAAAGGCTTACTCAGAAGTCACACTCTTTACTCCAACGTGATGCCCACCAGACAGCTTCAGTTTGGACCTTCCCATAGCTGGGAAAAATCCAGGGGGAAGAAAGGAACCTCTGATTTTTATAGCAAACGGTTGGGAGATAGGATTGGAAAAGGGGGTAGCTGTTGGGGTGTGTGTGTGAAATGTCAAACATTTGGTCCAAGGGTGTGGACCTCCTGTGGTTTGTATTGATCAGTTTGTCTGTTCTGTTCAGTGGAAGAGGAGTGCCGTCTCCGATGTCTGGTTCCTTTCACAAAACAGTACGAATGAAGATCCCACAATTGATTTTTGTTTTCCAGCAGTTTGCCTGTTGTTTTGATGGCTGCAGTTTTCACAATTAACCTCTCTCCGACTAAGCTGGCTGGCTTTCAGAAGTTTATTTCTCTAGAAGGCAACATCAGTCACAAGCCATCTTCAAAAAAAGGAAAAAAAACACACTACACATTAAATCTTATTTGTTGATTTATTTTTAATTCTGCCAGCACCAGCCATACTGATATGCCCTGGTAAGACCACACTTGGAATACTGCATCCAGTTTTGGTCACTACGATAGGAAAAAAAAGATGTTGAGACTCTAGAAAGAGCACAGAGAAGAGCAACAAAGGTGATTAGGGAACTGAAGGCTAAAACATATAAGGAACGGTTGCTGGAATTGGGTATGTCTAGTTCAGGGGTAGGCAACCTTGGCTCTTTTATGACTCGTGGACTTCAACTCCCAGAATTCCTGAGCCAGCTTGGCTGGCTCAGGAATTCTGGGAGTTGAAGTCCTCGAGTCATAAAAGAGCCAAGGTTGCCTACCCCTGGTCTAGTTTAAAGAAAAGAAGGACTAAGGGGGGACACGATAGCAATCTTCCAATATCTCAGGGGCTGCCCCAAAGAAGAGGGAGTCAAACTATTCTCCAAAGCCCCTGAGGGCAGGACAAGAAGTAATGGATGGAAACTAACCAAGGAGAGAAGCAACCTGGAACTAAGGAAAAAATTCCTGACAGTTAAAACAACTAATCAGTGGAACAACCTGCCTCCAGAAGTTGTAGGTGCTCCAATACTGGAGGTTTTTAAGAAGAGATTGGACCACCATTTGTCAGAAATGGTACAGAGGTTGGACTAGAAGACCTCCAAGGTCCATTCCAACTCTGTTATTCTGATATATATATGTTTCGTGACCCAACTAAGTAACGTCATCAGTGCTAGCTTTTCAACTTTTTGTTTTTGCAAAAAAAAAACTTCTGTAAGTCACCCAAGCTTGCCCCTTTACTTCCCGTTTCTCTTTTTTGCCTGTAATAGACCTCACGTAACGTGTAAATGTGATTTCTCTAGCACCAATCCACTTGCCACGAAACTGCACAGCATTATCACTGATGAGGTGTTTGAGTTTTACTGCACCCAGTGCCATAAACAAATCAACCGCCTCGAAGACCTTTCCGCCCGCCTCAATGATCTTGAAATGCATAGGTAACCGGTTTTGAGGCATGGCACTTTCTTCGTTAAGAGCATGAACCGTGGTTTGTTTGTTTGTTTGTTTGTTTAAATCAAGCGTATGTCCTTGCTTTTTGATAGCTCAAAAGAAAAATACGAATTGCGTGTCGGCAGACTTTCTTGAGCTGGCCTGAGCCTTTGTCCCTTCTCTTGATTTCTTCAACATTTTGGGATCCACCTTTCTCTTGGGTGGGATATTCCACCGGCGTCCTATAAAAGGACAAGCAAGAATGCCATTTCTCAATAACAATGGCAGTTATTACTTGCTAGGAATGCATGTAGTCCAGGGGTGTCTTCAAACTTGGCCCTTTGATGACTTGTGGACTTCAACTCCCAGAATTCCTCAGCCAGAATTCTGGGAGTTGAAGTCCACAAGTCATAAAAGGGCCAAGTTGGAAGACCCCTGATGTAGTCTAACACTGATCATTTTAACAACAGGTGCGCTGCCAATGCTTCTAGAAATGGCCTCTCCCCTTCACCTCCAAAAAGGCTCTTTGATGGTTATTTAAGCTTAAAGCAAGGACATAGCTAGTGGGAATGCTTTTTGTGTGTGTGTGTGAGTGTTCTGCTCTACAGCTTTCTCCTTGCATGGTTCACTGTGGTTTTAATATGGATGTGATACTTAATTCCTCCTTAACCTGCGGTTTATGATTCTACACTGACAGAGGTGGAAGCAGAAAGAAGAGGAACGTGTCAGTTGGTCAAAAAAAAAATAAGGGCAGCAATCTCAGAGTTGCTGTCCACCAATGATGAAGGTCTACCATTATAGGATTGGGGGGCGGTCTTCTTTGCATTGCCAGAATTTATAGGGATTAAATTTAGGAGGCAACCTATTTGGAAGGCCATGAAAAGTCAGGTATAGTGTCTGGTTTCATTTACAGTAGTCCTTGACTTACGACCACAGTTGACCAGAATTTCCATTGCTAAGTAAGGCGTTTGTTAACTTGAGTCATGCCTGATTTTATGACCCTTTTTCCCAGTTGTTAAGCGAATCCGGCTTCCCTCATTGACTTTGCTTGTCGGAAACCGTCTGGGAAGGTTGCAAATGGTGATCACCGGACCCCCAGGATGCGGCAATAATTGTAAAAACAGGCCAGTGAGGAGGTGCCTGAATGTTGATCCCATGACCCTGGGGATGCTGTGACAAGTCATAAGTGCAAGGATCGGTCATGAGTCACTTTTTTCAAGGCTGTTTTAACTTCACACTGTCGATAAACAGATGTTTGTAAGTCAAGGACTACCCTGTAGGGTGTACCCATAGTTGCTGGTGGAAGGAGAGGGCCATGTGAGAATTTGGTAACTTCCCTAGATTTGGAGTGGAGCGGAGTGGTGAAGACTGATGGGGAAGTTCTTCCATCTGCAAAACGTTGACGGTCTTTATTTCTGAGTGACCGTTCCTCATATCCTTGAGGGAATGGTTGCTGGAGCTGGCCACTTCCCAACAAGGGCTCTTCTGATGGACCAGAACATTTTAGAAGGACCTCGGGTTGAGAGAAGGCTATGCCAAATAAAGAGTAAATGCCAAGGCGGTTGGTACTCTTGATGGTAACTCAGCTCCTACAAGACACATCTCTGGAAGCCATTTCCTTGCTGCTTAATTTCCAGTCATCAGCTTATGTTGTATGTTCACATTTGTAATTTACTTTGATGGCATTTCACGGGGAAAATATAAATTTATGTGTATGCGAGTGTGGTTGCTTGGAGTGCCCTTGAAGGAACGAAATGTGATGTTTGATGACGCGCAGAAGATGAAGGAATAACTTGGGAACGCCCTCTTGAAGCCACTGTATGGGTTCAGACAAAAGCATGAGGTAGTCGTGAGGGAAACTGAGGAGCAATTCAGACAATCCAGTGAAACATTAAGTAATTTAAATCCCAAGCTTTCTAGATGGTAGAACATTCAGCTCTGGGTTCTGAAAAAACTTGGCCCAGGGACATCTGGATCGGATGCTTTTGGCTTGTATGGATAGATGTGTCTTTGAACGGAGACCTTGGATAACTCAGAAAGATTTAGCCACCAAACAAGGCCAGGTGCCACGGAGACACGCAAAGACCTTCAGAACTGCATGAGAGAGAGAGAGATGTATTCATGTCTTTGTTCAAAGTTCTGACCTCCTGAATTCCTCCTCTTGTGGAATTGTATATTTTTTAATGTAGGAGAATGTTAATAATGTTACATTCAGGGGAATAATTGTATTACCTGTTGGCCAATGGCTTCAAGTTCTGTGAAGCCTTATTTTGTCTTCTTCCAACTAAATATCTGGAGTATTGCCTCCTTGGCCTGCCACTCAAAGAGAGGTCTCGCCCTTAGTCAGAGAAAAGCTTGGCTGGCTGAGGAGTTCTGGGAGTTGAAGTCCACCCGTCCAAAAGAATGTCGAGGTTGGGAGAAACTGGCCTACAGGTTCCAGAGATGGCCAGTTTTGGTGCTCCTCTGAGGAGGCGCCCTTGAGAGGGCTTCAAAAGGTTGTCTTGCCCAGAGGGCTAAAACCGAGGGAGTGCAATGCATGCCACTGGAGCAGCGTGTGTGGGTGATGTGTTTGTGTGCTGTGCTGCAAATTGTAAAGGATATGGCCCTCCTGCTCTTGTCTTTGCTTGCTTCCTGTTTCACTGTGGCTCGTTGGTGTCAGCTTTCCTGACTTAGTTTTCCTGTTGTTCGCTCCACAGTCCGAATCAGAGACTCTCCAGCAAAAAGGTAGCAAGGTAAGAGGACGTTTCTTTCTTTCGTTCTTTTCTCTTGTTTTGAAGTGATCCTGCTTTCCTCACGCAGTTTCTTCTCATGGGAGGGGGGAGAGGGAAAGGGATTAATTGTTACTCCAAACACCAAACTCCAAGGATGTTGTGGAACCATTTCTTTCCCTGAACAACAAAGATCTCCAAAGCAGAGCAGTTCAGATGGTTGGGTTGGTTTGCAGGTTCTCAGCTTAGGATAGGTGGGTGTGTCCTTGGCTGAACTGAGCAGGAGGGACCTAAGATCCCATAAAGGATGGGATTTTTTGGTAGGGGTTCCAGGGGGAATTTTGGCAAACCTTGGGGAGGGAGGATGTACGCTCTGAAAGCTAGAGAAAAGAAGGACCAGGGATGACATGATAGCCCTGTTCCAATATTTGAGAAGCTGCCACAAAGAAGAGGGGGGTCAGCTTATCTTCCAAAGCACCAGAAAGGCAGGACAAGAAGCAACGGATGGAAACTAACCAGGGAGAGAAACAACCTAGAACGAAGGAGAAACTTCTTGACAATGAGGACAATCAACCTGTGGAACAGCTTGCCTTCAGAAGTTGTGGCTGCTTCATCACTGGAGGTTTTTAAGAAAAGACTGGACAGCCACCTGTCTGAAATGGTAAAGGGTCTCCTGCTTGAGCAGAAAGTTGGACTAGATGACCTCCAAGGTCCCTTCTAGCTCTATTCTGATTGACTGAAAACCACCAGGTTGTGCTCTTAATATTAGAGATGCCATCTCTGTGTTGGTTGCCAACGTGCATCTGTGAGAAAAGGCATATTGGGGGGGATATTCAACTCACTCCTGAGCCCATTTTTCATCGAGTTGCTGGGAGATTTCTCTGCCAGCAACTAGATGAAAAACAGAGTTTGTGGAGTTTGTGGAAAAACAAAGGGTGATCCAATACAAAGAACCAGAAACGGGACAAGTCAGTTTCTCTCACGAACAGTAACTTCGCCCTGGTAGAGCAGAAACCTGGGAAGAAGCATTGCAGGTTATTTCAAGAGACTCTGCCTTAATTATAACCCAGCTGAGAAATTCCTCGTGTTGTTCCCAAGAATCTGCATTTGGCACTCAAGATCCCTTTCTGAAATCCAGGTGCTTCTTACCCTGCAAGAAAAGGATGTTGAATTGGGCCATCTTTCCCAGTCCATTTTGCTACCTGTTGCAAAGGTTGCAGGTTGCGGTTGACAGAGAGAGACTATCAGAAGACTTACGTTCCTGTGTACCTGTGTGCCTCCTGCCATTATTAAAATGCCCTCAGTATAAAATTCCAATCCCTTTGCAGCTTCTTAGCCAATGCAGCACTTTCCCCACTGTTTCTAACTTAGGGGGAATCTGCTGGAAGACGCTGCCCAGAATTATTTCTTGGTTTTTTGTTTTATTGCTTTATTTTAATTGTCCTTTTAGATGAAGTATGTTTTTTTCCCCCCTCCCTAACTTTCCCTGGCGGAGAAGCGGATGCTTCAGCCAGTTAGTGCCCTTCAAACTAGCCGTTCTCTCCGGGTTCTTCTTGTTTGAAATTGGGAGGATAATATAAGTGTCAGCTGGCAACAGCCATCTGATCCACTCTATTTGGCCTTAGAAGCTAAGTAGTCCTACCTTTGTGTGAATGCACAGACAGGAGATGCCTAGTAAAACCCAAGGTTGAGGGCTGGACTAGGAAGTAAAAAAAATATATATCTCCAAAGAAAATAGAACAGTGGTGGCGAACCTATGGCACGGGTGCCAGAGGCGGCACTCAGAGCCCTCTCTGTGGGTACGCGCGCCGTACCCCGGCCTTCAGCTCGGTTTTATAAAACCTTTTTGCTTTTGGCCTCCGTCGCTGTGTGCAAAAAAAAAAAAAAAAAAAAGGTTCAATCAGTCAATTTCAACTTCTCGTGGGAAAAAAAAAGATCTTGCAAAGTTGGGATTGATTGAACTTTTTAGTCCCACCCAGTCTGCCGCTACCACCGCAGCCACGCCCACCCAATGGGCCACACCCAGCCAATGGGCCACACCCACCCGGCACTCGACGATGTGTGGGTTTTGGGTTGCAGTTTGGGCACTCGGTCTCTAAAAGGTTCGCCATCACTGCCTTAGAAGCTAATTAGTCCTACGTTTGTGTGAATGCATGGACAGGAGACCCCTAGTAAAACCCAAAGTTGAGGGCTGGACTAGGAAGTAAAAAAAAAAACCCCTCCAAAGAAAATAGAAAATAGAGATGCGGTGAGGTTTCGCAGGGACATTGAGGGAGTGGGGGGGATACAGGTAGTTCCTCAACTTAAAACAGTTCATTTAGTGACCGTTCAAAGTTACAACGGCACTGAAAAGAGTGACTTAGGACCATTTTTCCACACACAAGACCATTACAGCCTCCCCATGGTCAGCTGATCAAAATTGAGGCACTTGGCCAACTAGCCTGTATTTATGACAGTTGCAATATCCCCGGGGTCGCGTGATCCCCTTTTGTGACAAGCAAAGCCAATGGGGGAAGGTGAGGTTCACTTAACAATCGGGTCACTAATTAAACGACTCCAGTGATTCACTTAACAACGGTGGCAAGAAAGGTCATAAAAGGGGGCAAAATTTACTTAACAAGTTATCTCTTGCTTGGCAACAGAAATGTCCCGTACCAGACTTGGTTCTTTATCGCAGGATGGCTTATTGAACACCTGTTTAGTGATAAAGTCTATTCCTAGTTGATAAAACGTCTGGACCAAAGGACTTGCCATAAAACGGCAGACTTTGGACCACAACACGGAAGCTGGGTGACGTGGTAGCGGTCCAGTTAACCTCCGCTGCTGATCCCAGGAGAGCTATTTCACTATCTTGCTACAACTCGACCTGCCCCCGGCTCTTTTCTCTTTATCGCTTTGGGGTGTGCGGTTCTCCTTGTGTGAAGATGAAAAAAGGGATCGCGTGCCGAAAGTGAGAGCTTGATTACCCCATATTCCAAAGAGCGAAAGTGTGAAAGGGTAAAGTTCTATCGATTCGTTCTTTTGCTCTAGAGCCAACCTAAAACCTACCGGATTGCTTTCAGAGCTTAGAAGGCCACCAAAAGTATCTGGAGGGTCACCGTAGATGGGAGCCTCTAAGCTAGGAAATTGAAATAGGATGAATATGATTTCATTGATGAAAGCCTGCACTGGTCACCCGTTGTCTGTCGTGATGATGGTAACCTTGCTGTTGTTTGCATTCTTCTGTCTTGTTTACAGGCACCTGCATCAGACAGGAAGCTTTTCGATGGATAATATAGAACAATCTCTTCAGAAGAGCTCTGAGTGTCTGGAGGAGGATATAACTGATAAGGTACGTGTGTGTGTCTGGAACTGAAGAAGATTGTGTATGGGTGTGTTTAACTGAATAGAGGACACACATGTGTGTGCACATACACAGAGAGGGTGGGAGCAGGGAGCGAAGGATCTCATCCACTCATCCTGTGGGCTTTATTATTCTTGTTATAGTTGGGCACACAGTCAGCCAGATGTTCAGACTGAATTTGCCATTTTAATCCACCTATCGAGTCTTTCCCAAGGACCTGGGATAGGCAAATGTAGATGTTTTATGGCAGGGGTCCCCAACCTGTGGGCCATGACAGGTTTGCAACTGGGCATGGAAACAGCCAAAGAGTGCGCATCCTCATGTGCGAGCAGTGAGCGAGCATATGTGCGTGCGTTCCATTTGCATGAGCGGCAGACGTGTGTGCACGCCGCTTGTGGAAAAGGAGCTGCGTGCATTTGCTGGCCGCTGGCACGAACCATCCCCTCCACCCCCTGCCGGTCCGCAAAGCCGGAAATGTTAGGGAACTCTGTTTTATGGTTTAGAGGTCTCATCGCAGGATGTAAGTTGTTCTGAGTTAAGGCTGCCTTTTGCAATTGACTGATAGGGATTTTGTCAATGCCAATGGTGTTCAAGTGGTGCTCCAGTTCTTTTGGAATTGCATTTAAAGCCATTATTACTATTGGTACTACCTTTGCTTTCTTTTGCCACAGCCATTCTACTTCTGCTTGCAGGTCTTTGTATTTTCTGATTTTCTACAGTTTTTTTTTTCTGTTCCATTCTGCCGTCTCCAGGCACTGCCATATCCACTGTCCAGACTTTTTTTTTTGCCTTTCAACAATTTTTAAGTCTGGACTGTGATGCGGCAAGCGCTCGTCTGTATTACTGTGGTTGGTCACACAGTCAGCCAGATGTTAAGACTGGATTTGGCATTTTTACCCACTTATCAAGTCCTTCCCGAGGACCTGTGACAGGCAGACGTTGTTTAAGAATATTAAAGGTATAGTTGCAGGATGCTAGCTGTTCCAAGTAAAGCTGCCTTTTGCAATTAAGTGATGAGGATTTTGTCAATGCCCCTGATGCAGGTGACCTTTTTAGAAAAAAGAGTGTCAGAGCTGGAAAAGGACACAGTGGCCAATGGGGAGCAGCAGAGCCGGTTAAAGCAAGAAAACCTTCAGCTGGTGCACAGGTACGCCTTAAATAATAATAATAATAATAATAATAATAATAATAATAATAATAATAATAATAATAATAATAATAATAATAATAAAGTTGGAAGGGACCTTGGAGGTCATCTAGTCCAACCCCCTGCTCAGGCAGGAAACCCTATACCATTTCAGACAAATGGCCGTCCAGTCTCTTCTTAAAAACTTCCGGTGTTGGAGCATTCACCGCTTCTGGAGGCAGGTTGTTCCACTGGTTAATTGTTCTAACTGTCAGGAAGTTTCTCCTTAGTTCTAAGTTGCTTCTCTCCTTGATCAGTTTCCACCCCTTGTTTCCTGTCCTGCCTTCAGGCGCTTTGGAGAATAGCTTGACTCCCTCTTCTTTGGGGCAGCCCCTGAGATATTGGAAGACTGCTATCATGTCCCCCCTCGTCCTTCTCTTCATTAAACTAGACATACCCAATTCCAGCAGCCGTTCTTCATATGTTTTAGCTTCCAGACCTCTAATCATCTTTGTTGCTCTTCTCTGCACTCTTTCTAGAGTCTCAACATCTTTTTTACATCGTGGTGACCAAAACTGGATGCAGTATTCCAAGTTTGGCCTTTCTAAGGCCTTGTAAATTTTGTGCTGTGGTTGAGACGTTGACCCTTTTGGAGTGGGGCTTCATTTACAATGCTTGCAGAACAGCCAGAAGACCCGGATTAGAAATTCAGCTTTTTTTAAAAGGCAGGCTGACGCTATTGTTATAAGGATTGTTTCTTCATGCAGCTGCTTTTTCAGCACTACTTTCTCAACAGGACTTCAGTGGATTAGGCTGCGTAATGATTTAATTAATCCTCAAGGCAAGCAGTAATAAAATTGGGATCTGCCTTTTAAAAAGCATTTAAGAGAGGGATTGAGAAGAGAACATTTGCTAATAGAACTTACGTGTCAAGCGCTGGGGAAATCAGGAGAGTCAGGCAGTTCAAATGAGTGTAAAGGTTTATTGCAAGCTTAAGCGGTCTACAAGAATCTGACCAACTAACGGTCTAGGGAAATGAGTGGGAGATAAGAAAGGCATTCAAAGTGGACTGGACTTTGATCTCTTGCAGGCTTATGATGCGTTTGACCCCTCCCGCAGGCTCAGCTTGGTCATCTCCTACACTACGCACCCTGGAGTGTAGAAATGTTACCATTTTCCAGCTCTTTTTCATATTTTGCAGGGGCTTAGGTGCACCATAAAAATTAGCCAATATCTCAGGAAGCGTCTGCTGGCACTTTTTCAGATTAACAGCTTCCCTGGTTCCAATTTAAATCCTACATCACTTTAAACCCTCCTCCCCCCCCCCCCCGGTGCACCTTGATGAAATGAGCTGTAGTTCACAAAAGCGGGTGCCTTTTAATAACATCTGTTAATCTGAAAAGGGGCTACCAGATCTGTGGCGCCGTCTACAATTTACTTATGTTACAATTGTATGCCACCCATCTCTCCAGATGTCTTAAACTTGTAGGCCGCCTATATCGCTTTATG